TAAATTACAAAGTTAAAATAGCAAAGAATTGTGTTGAAGGCCTAAGTATGGTATGTATAATCTTTCCCTTTACCCAGAAATAAACCTAGAATTTCCTATAAATCTCACCAGAAACCCCATTTACAGTAACAGACATGCCTTAACCCTCTCTGTGGCCCATGGTTTTACCTACTCAGATTGTGATTCTCTCTCCAAGGCCTCCTTGCAGCCACCCTATAATCTTACCTTATCAAAAAGTTAAAAAAGAAGAAAAAAGTTCCTTAGCCACCCCCTGAGTTCCAACTTGAGACCCACCGCAATGCCCCATGGGGCTACTGCTAAGACGCTCACTCCGTAGAGAAGCGCCCATTCTCTCCTCTCCGTGTCTTTTTCCTATTTTTAATAAACACAACTGTGCTTCACACTAGCTCATCCTGAAACTCCCTTCTGCTGTGAAGCCAAGGAAGGAGTCAGCTTCACCCAACTGGAGATCTCTAGAATAAGGCCCTGTGGGGCTGGCAGGTCTGAGTGTTATCTGCTGTACCACTGCTTACACAAGCTCTGTCTCTCATCTCATCTCATTCAATTACAAAAGCCTCTGGAAAGGACCAGCGTTGCAGCAGAAGATTCTCAGCACTTATGCTCAACCACTGGCATAAAGTCAAAGACTTGAGGAAGATTTTCAGTCTCTCTCTCTCTCTCTCTCTCTCTCTCTCTCTCTCTTCTCTCCACCCTTTCACCTTCACACATATATTCAAACATCAGGGTCTCCCTGTAGCCCCAGCTGTCCTGGAACTCACTATGTAGACCAGGGTGGCCTTGAACTCACAGAGATCCTCTTGCCTCTGCCTCGAGTGCTGGGAGTGCACCACCATGCCTGGCTCAGACTATATTTTTTATTCTGCCCTTAAATTTCCACCTAAAAATTTATATCCCAATTGCATGAGTTTCCGCTCATTGCAAATTCTTGGATTACTAGGCAACTTTAGAAACCCAACCACCAGGCCACTGACAGTACACAGCAGGTTATAAATGCAACCCAGAACTATGTCTACATCAAATCTGAGCTGATGGATGGGAGAGAAATATAATACTAGTGGGCCTGGCTATGAAGGATAGAACATTCTAGATCTAATATATGAAGACGTTATAACTTACCAGAGAAAATTACTTATAAATTAAATGAAGCTATATACAGATTATCTCCAAATAGCCTTAACACTGCCACTTCCTAAACTAATTAGGGAACTAATCAGGCCTTGTCTTAACCAGTAAGTTGTGGTTTAACAGTCATCTCCCTTAAGAATAAAGAAGGTCTTAAGGGCACATCAAAGGGGAAGGAACAGACAGGAAGGTCACACATCTGTAATGTCAACACATGGCAAGTACAGTCGGGAGGAATGGGAGCTAAAAGTCACTGTCAGCCTCAGAATCGGTTTGAGGCCAGTCTGGGCTCCATGATAGCCTGTCTCAAAAAATAAAACAAAACATGGAATAGTGGAAATATGAAAAAACAGTAAAAGAAGACACGAAAGAAATGCGCAAAAACAATACAAGCTATTGCCATTGCTCTTGGTTGCCCACCATAACTGGATGGTGAGAGCTTACTGCTGAAGATACCACACACTGGTCGCAGGACATGGAGAAATCGATCTCAAATCCACCAGGTGACTGTCTGCTGGCCAGCTTTCACGAAGCCAAAAGGCGATACACAGAGCATCGGGGGAGAAAAGACATCAACGGTCTTACCCAGGGCCAGACCCTGAATGCTACAATGCTGACCTGGCCAGGCAAGATGTGCCTAGTGGTGGGAAAGTGGCAGGGTCAAAATGCTTAGAACAAGTGACTGTGAGTGCTCAGCCCTGAACAGGACATGTATATCAACCACTCACCCAAGGATCAGGGAACATGGGGGAAGAGCTGGCAGAAAGATTGCAAGAGCCAGATGATGGGGAGGAGCACTGTGAACTGCTGTCTCTGGACAGGACACGGCCACCACACTCTTGAACTAACAGCAGCCAAGGCTCCTGCAGAACACTTGGGTAAGACCAAGTCTGTCAAAATTTCAATAGGGATAGGGAGGGGGCCACAAGGCTCCCTCCCTAGCTGAGGAGCTGTCAGCAACTGATGGCCAGAGGGAGGGAGCGCCATTTTCCTTTGGGAGTGTGGCCACTGGCAGGTTGCCCAGTCTCCAGTGGATGGCCGCACACCCACGACCACCGGGGCAGCGCTAACTGGATTCAGTGGATTGTTTTAAAAAAGAGATAAAATTAGAAGGAAGACAAGCTGGGGTGTCTGGAGGGAGTTGAAGGAGCATAGTGTGGAGTGGATATTATAAAAAATAAATTGTATACACATGCAAAATTAGCAAATAACAAATTTAAAATATTATTTTTCAAAGACTGAAAGTGACCTATTGGGTTATGTGAGATCCATCATATGGGATATGTAACTACTAACAGGATTCAGAATTCCACATTTCCAGAAAGACAGATCAGTTGAACTGAAAAACTTTGGTAAGTAACAGAGCTTCACCTGTGCCTGATGTCACCACAGGGAACAGAACGGTGCAAAGCAAACCTAAGTAACTGGAGGAAAAGAGGCAGAGTCCAGAATCAGAACCAGGACTGCAAAGAGCAGGTGAGCAAGCACCCTAAAAGGAAACAGCCAACCAAAACTCTATGCTGCAAAGTGGAAAACCATCATTAGAACCCTAAGTAGCAAGGACACTGAAATCAGCATGGGGAATTCTAAAAATCACACATGGTGGCTAACAACTGTAACTCCAGTTCTAGGGGATCCAATGCCCTCTTCTGACCTCCATGGGCATTGTATGACATGGGTGCACTTATATACATGCAGGCAATACACTCATACATATAAAATAAAAATAACAAAGGAAATAAAAACAAATAAATAAATCCAAAACCACACCACATACTGCTTAGAACATATCCTCACCATTGAGGGATACATGGACTGTGAACATACCCTCATAACTGAAGGATACATGACTGCGAACACATCCTCACCACTGAGGGATACATGACTGTGAATACATCCTCACCACTGAGGGATAAATGAACACATCCTCACCACTGAGATATACATGACTGTGAATACATCCTCACCGTTGAAGGGTACATGACTCTGCTTCTTCCAGAAAGCGCACAGGAAAAAAGAACCCACACAGACCAATTCCCAGGTAGAGAACACACACTAAAAACTTAATGTTTACTCTCACATGACAGTGATATTTACGCTAAATGGGCTTAAAGTCCATGTTTTTTCTAAGTAGACTTTAATACCATAAACCAGTCTCAAACAAAGAAACACTTGCTGGTAAATGTGTACCACAAGCAGAAAACACAGGGCAAGGAGGCAGTGTCTACCAATCCTCGGCCCTGAGTGAAGTCAGGGCTCATCTAATTGGCTTTTTTTCCATTTTTCTGACCAAGTGTAAACACTCTGGCTAACTATTCCAGAAAGAACTCTCAGGTAACTGTACCCAGATGTCAGTCAGTCAGGCTCCTGTTCTGAGAATTTAGTATAAATAATTTGGGAAGATGGAGACTGAAAGAGTGTTGAAAGGATGCAGAGGCTTGGTCATTCCCTCTTCCTTCCTCAAACCACACTCTGAAGCCTCCTCCCTACAATAAAGGTTTTATTATTTTTGAGACAAGGTTTCATCTCACTATGTAGACCAGGCTGGCTTTGAATTCATAGAAACATCTGCCTCTCCGATGCTGGTGTTAAAAGAAAAAAGCATGAGGCACCACTGCTGGCTCCTCCCTCAGTAAGTAGTAACCCCTAATCCAGGCCCACCCTTCTCAACCCAACACATATGCCCTTTCTGAAAACTGTTTCAAAACTTCCAACATCACGATCTCTGACAGGAACTGGAGGAGGTATTACTTTCTACTGGTTTTCACTCTTCAGCATGGGCCCAAAATTGTTTGCACTACGCAAAGCTAGGAAGTTCGCTTTCTGCGATTCTTCTGACACTCGGTGGAAGCTAGTGTGAGGGCCCAGGTCGGGTGGGTACCATGGGCGAGGGAGCCGGCTCTCAACCTCTGTAACAATTTATTCCAAAGAATATACGCTAGGCTTCCTATTTTAGTCTCATTTCCAGTTGCTGTCATAAATTACCCAGACAAAAGCAATTGGGAAAGGGGGTTTTTCCGACTGCACAGTTCTCGGTTCCAGCCTCTCAGTGCAGGGAAGGCAGCAGGATCCCGAGGCAACTAGTCACATCAACAGTAAAAACCAGTGAGGATGGATGTGCACAAGCATGTTTACAGCGCGATCTCTCCACCCTGACACCACCCGGACCCAGACTCATGGTGATGCTCACTGGCGGCTGCATCTTCCCATCATCCATTCAGGCAATCGCCCAGTGACAATCCTTCATTGAGATCATGGTACTTCCCAGATGATACTAGGTGGTGTCAAGCGACAATTCAAACTACCCACCACACATTCCGTACACCAATATTGTCTCTCTGTCTTTGGAAACAAGGGAGTTTATAAACGTTAGCTCAAACCAACAATGCTTAGCATGCAATAAAGTGCAGGACGGACCAGAAACGCCACTTGCTCTAGATAAGCCAAGAAACCTCCAAGGGGCAACAGTCAGCCAAAACTCGGTAAGCTAGCAACAGCACCCTTCCACAGCCAAGCTGGACCGCGAGCTGCCCCCACCATCTCCAGGCACAGGATCTCAGCAGACCCACCTCGCCTGGGGCAGTCCTGGACCTTCCAGCACTTTCCCTTCCCGGGCTGCAGGAGCCCGCCCTCCTGCCCTAGACTAGCACCGTGGACCTCGTCCTAACGGAGTCACTCAGCACATCCCAGTCTCCCTCCCCGCAGCCCTGACCTCATCCTGACAGTGGCCCAGCCTAGGCCAGCGCAGCACCTAAATCAGCTTCCTCCCGCCCCCATCACCCCGAGTCCGCTCGCTCGGCGCAGACACCCGCCCGCCCTGCACGGTCCCCCAGGGCTGCGCTTCACCCGGGACCAACCTCCATGCTCAGAAGTGCAAACCCAGCACCGAGTCCGGCCCGACACTCCGGAACTTTATGAAAGATGCCGGACCAGCAGATATGCACATGCGCAGAAGGAACCCGGAAGCTCGGTTCCCGGAGCCCTTGGTTGTGACGTCACATTGGGAGAGACTGCATTTCCCACAAAGCAGTGCGAGGGAGAGCCTGGATACGGTAGCGTGCTTTGTACTGTTCTTGAGTTTCTGTCCCGCAACGCTCTAAGGGGGTGAATAGGAAGAAGCCGCCCTCCGGTCGGCCGAGGGCACTAGGCTGCTTCTAAAATTCCAGATTCAGCCGGGCGTCGTGGTCCCAGCAGTCAGGAGGCAGAGACAGGCGCATCTTGTGAGTTCAAGGCCAGCCTGGTATATATATATATATATATATATAGTGAGTTCCAGGGAGACCCTGTCTCAACAAAAGACCAAAAAAAAAACAGTCCCACATTCACGAAATAGGATGTGAGTAGAGCCTCTGACAGTGTTTATTAGGTTAACTTGTTCATTTTGGTCAATATGTTGTGATTTAAAACTCAGGTCTACCTATTATAGAATGTTTTAAATATTAAAAAAGTTCTTTCCAGGTTTTGTAGAGATGTGCTGAAGCAGATTTCAGGGGACCGGGTCTCGATACTGGTCACTGGCAGTGAGGCAGGTGGAACGTGGTGGAGATCAGCAGCAACGCACAGAACAGGGGCAATTGTGGAGCAGATCACAGATGATCTGACATAGCGTGTTGAGATCAGGCAATGCCCTGCAATAAGTTACTCCATATTATGTAAAACAGTTACTTTTAGTCCCTGCTTCTGGGCCTGAGAGACTCCCATTTTAAGTGTGGAGGAGGATGCGCCCCTGCAGTTCTGATCCTGAAATTGCTAAGTAACAGAATTCCAGAAATCAAAGGTAACCTCTTGAACTCACTGTTCCCAAGCCAGGACAGAGGAACAATTATACCCTGAACACAGGTTTTAAAATCATCTTCCAAGCAGGATGTGCTAGGTGCACGCCTTTAATCCCAGCACTAAGGAGGCAGAAGTAGGTGAGTTCAAGGCCTTCTGGCTTAGGTAGTGAGTTCCAAGCGAGCTGGGGCTATAGGAAGACCTTGTCTAAAAAAAAAGATGACCAAATAAAAGTTCCAGAGAATATGAATGGAACAAGCGTAACAAAGGAACTCCACTGGCTCCATGAAATAACGAACCCTCCTGTCATTCCTTAGGAGCTGTCCCTGTACTACTCAGACCTGAGGTCAGAGTACACATACCTCTGTCAGAAGGAAGTGTTCATACTGGTATAGAAATACTGATTCATAAGATTTCTGAAGAGTGACATTGGCTGAAGATCATACCCAATTTTTGATATGATGTTTTTATTAAAAATTTCATAATGTGGATATTTTCTCATATTCACCCCCGCTCACCTTCTAACTTCCCTGATATATCCCCCACCCCACCTCCTCCCAATTTTGTGTCCTCTTTTTTTTTCTTTTCATAACCCACAGAGTCCAATTTGTGTGATCTATATACACCTGGGTGTGGGGCTATCCACTGGAGTGTGGACAACTTACACCCAATTATTTTGGGTCACCACAGCCACTCACTTTCCTCTTTGTAGATCTTATTTATACTTCATTGCAATCCTTGATCATCATTCTGAGTAACCCTTCAGTAACAGGGATATCAGGGTCAATTCTGAAATTGACACAGGATAATAAATAATACAGTCGCTATGGTAACCATGAAGACAGCTAAGGATTAGTGTGCTCCAACCCAGTTCTAACAGAAATATGTAGTTAGATACCTATATTATAGGATCATGTCTGTTTTCTGTTAATTTAATTATTATGACTTTTTAAACAGACATGCAGCTTGAACACCACCTCTCTCCATCACTCCGAGGACTCACTCCCTGATGTAATCATCATGAGAAGTCCAGCATGGCTGTGGCAGACTTTTTGGTTGCAGTAATGCTATATTTACATACAAATAGAAAACATACCATCCATGAGGAAAGTTAAGTTTTATGTATATTTGAATTTGGAATACTATAGTATAAAGTATTACATACAAAAAATGAAACAATTCAATGTATCAACCATTAACAACCTTTACTTTTCACGGTGATCATAGTGATCTTTTTTCTTTATTATAAGACTATACTTTGCCACATAACATCTTTGCCACCATGATTTTGATTGCTTTATTACAATTTGGCAAGTTTCCAACATAAGTGAATTTGAATATACTGTCCCTTTTAATTTTATGAATCTTAACTTATAGCTACCCTCTTGTGCTTTTAAATGCAGATAACTGATACAATTTGTAATATATTTACCCTCTCATGAGCATAGACTTGAGCGTCCTTAATAAACGCTACTACATAAGCAAATCAAATTCAAGAACATATCACACAGATGATGTAGCATGACAAGAGGGTGCAAAGTTAGTTTAACTTGGAAGAATCCACGATTGAGATGCATCATTGCAATGACTGAAAGATGAAAACCAGATGATCACCCAAATAGATGCAGGAAAGCTAGTAGGCAAATTTCACCATCATTTCAAGACCAGAGCTACCAGCAAAATATGTGTGGAAGGAAATTTCTTCAGCATAATAATGGCCATTGATAAAAGCCTGTCACTGATGTCACAGTCAACAGTAAAAAGCTCTCATTTTTCCTCACAGATCCAACATGAAGTGAAATTGACTATTCTTATGACTTCTGTTCCACATAGTATGAAGTGCTTCTTAAGAAAAGGAAATAAAAGGCATGTAAATCAAGAGGAGAGAAGTAAAATTATTTGCATTTCATATGGCATGATCTTATAGGTAGAAAACTCCAATGACTCAAAATATGTTAGAACTATTAATGAACTCAGTGAAGATTCAGGAGATAAAATCAACATTAAAAACATTTTTAAAATTTTAAAATGAATTTCATTTCTTTCCACCAATACCAATCTGTCTGAAAAAGAAATCAAGGGAATATTTCTATTTATGACCATATCAATAAGAGGAAAACACTAAGGATTGAACAAAACAAGAAAATAGCACAATGAAAACTATAAATATAAAAAAATCAAACAGACATGGGTTCTAATGCATTACATGTTCATGGATTGAAAGAATTAAGAGTGTTGAAATGCCCACATGCTAGGAAGCCATCTAAAACCACAATGAAATCAATACCTATCAAAATCAATGGCATCTTTCATGAATTGAAACTTGCACAGGATGAAGATAGAAGTGGATCCACTAAATTTGGAAGTCTCAGTGATCTTGGGAGGATATTTTTCTATGGCATGGCTGGAACAGAAACAGACTGGAGTGGGTTGAGGTGGGCTTAGAGGAGACCTGCTTGGCATGGTCTTGTAGGAGGCTAGACTCAGGCTGGATAGACATACACAACAAAGTAAAGAATATAAGGTTAGCCAGAGTGCTTTACCTCTGGAACATCAAAAGAAATATTTTAACTTGCTGCAGGGAAATACCTCCTTAAATATTTACCCCACTGTCTCCTAACCCCAATCTTTCTGTCCATTATATGTCACCCAGGCCTGGTGAGAGCAGTCTCTTCACTCACATTCTTTTTTGGCTTGTTTTGTTTTTATTATTGTTTTTTTTTTTTCTGAGACAAGTTCTCCGTGTAGCCCCACCTGGCCTATAATTACTATGTAGACCAGGCTGGCCTTAATCTCATAGAGATCCACCTGCCTCTGCCTCCTGAGGCCCAGGATTAAAGACATAAGCCACCATACCAGGTTTCATTCACATTCTTGGTCCTCTGAAATGAAGACTTAGGGCCTTGGCCAAATGAATAAAGGACAAGGAAAGACAGAACAAAGAGGCTGAATCCATCCACAGTCTGAAACATGGGAGAGTAGAGAGTGGCTGAGATGAGGGCAGAGGAAGAGGGACGTGTGTGTTCATTTGCTGAAGTTGGCAACATACAAGAAAAACCCACCACCAAGTAGCTGAGAGAAACACTGACAGGAGTCTCTAATGCAATAACAGATTTATCATGGTTATTGGCTTTTAAGAATATGAAGTAGGCTAGGCATGGTGGCCCATGCCTTTAATCTCAGCAGACCAGTCTGACATTGCTCTCATAGAGATATGCCTGCCTCTACCTCCCAAGGGCTGGGATTAAAGACCTGCACCACCACATCCAGCCTTCATCTTATTTTTGACATAGGAGCCACAAATACACACAGGAGAAAAGACAGCATGTTCGAAAAATGGTGCGGGAGAAACTAGATAGTGGCATGGAATAGTGAAGCTAGACCCCTATCTCTCACCATTCACAAAACTCAACTCTAAATGGATCAAGGACCTCAATATAAGACTGGATCCCCTGAATCTCATAGACGAGCAAAAGGGCAATACATTGGAACTTATAGGCCCAGGAAAGGACATTCTGAATACTGCTGCTATACTGCAAGCATCAAGCATGGCTGACAAGTGAGACCTCATGAAACTAAAAAGCTTCTATACAGCAATGGGTATCATATGAGTGAAGATGCAGCCCACAGAATAAGAAAAGTATCTTCACCAGCTATACATCTGATAGAGGGTAGTATCTACAATATACAGGAGAACGAACATCAAAAAACAACCCAATTAAAAAGGCAAGGAACTGAATATTAAGATGAACACAAATGGATGACAAATACTTTAAAAAGTGTCCAATATCTTTAGACAACAGGTAACCACTTTGAGGTTTCATGTTATCCCAGTTAGCGAAGATTAAAAAAAAAAAAACAATAAATTATGGCAAGGATGTAGAAAATGGGAAACTCTTACCCACTGCTGGTGGGAGTGAAAACCGGTGCAGCCCCTATGGAAATCAGTATGGAGAATTCTCAAAAAGCTAAAAACTAACTATATGATCCAGCCATACCTCTCTTGAACACATACCCAAAAGACTAGATACCCTACTATAGAAACACCTGTTCACCCATGCTCATTGCTACCATTTTCACAATAGCCGGGAACTGAAAAACACCTAGATATCCTTCAACTGAAAATGGATAATGAAGTTGTGGCACATATACGCAATGGAGTATTATTAAGCTCTTTTAAAAATG